AAAAAAAAACTCTTACAACTAATTTTTTACACTGCATTTTACAAAATATCATTATGGAGTAGATCATCTTTGAGGTGCTTTGTACTGAATACAATTTATGTGTGGACAATTTTCAAGTTATAATAATAATAATATATTTATTTTAAGTCTAAAATACACAAAAAATGTTCAGTAAACTGTATAACATAAAATGAATAAAAGTTAGTAGAAAAATGTTTTCTTTGTAAATATATGAATTTTAAAAAATAGAGTACTAAATAGTAATAAAAAGTAAAAAATCCTAAATTGCATTAATCTTATGCAAAATGTTATGTCCTAAGCATGCCAAATAAAAAAGAAGAAGAAGATAAAAAGACCTTGAGCTTGCCAAATGTGCATGGTGCAGTATCCACAATAGCACAGATAAGTGCCATTGGCATTCAAGCAATTGTTTCCATAATGAGCCAAGCAATAAAACTTACAAACTACATAAGTAGGTTTTCTTCACAGACAATTACACACTCATACATTTTCAAAGGCAATGCCTCGCAAAAAGAATGCAAATTTAAGATAAACTCCGTGTACTGCACATCGTTCTCATCCCACGTCCAGATCAATTTCACCCAATAATAACTCAAGGATAATTAACTTGCAACCAGATAGTTGTCACAAACTGGCAAAGATTGTACATAATACATGAAATGCTTCGTTTTCAGGTAATAGCATCTAAAAAAGTTACAACTAAAAATTACCCGCGACACTTCTTTTGTAGTAACACTATCTGTTCATACAGGCATATGTCATGACAATAAATCAACCAGATCATTTAAAATCTCGTCAGCAATGACCCAAAGAATGAGAGCGAGGCTTGTCGTGTAGTTTTCTCAAGAAATCGACACACCAGTCCAGCTGGGAAAATGAGAAATCGGACTGAAAGTTTCACGACCCAAATCGAGAGTCAACGACTCAACCCCTATCCTTCTCTTTATCACTTGAATGAAGTTTCATGGTGAGCCCCAATTTAGTGGCCTGGTTTCACTGGTTGGTGATGCTGGATGCCCCCTGTGTACTTTTGAAGACAAAATAGCATAATGGGTTGTAATTTTTAGGCTTCTTTCTCACATCATCGATCAAGTCTGTTTGAACTACAGCAAGTGGTCATACAATCTAATTTGACTGACAACAGTCAACTGCATGCTGCAGATTTGGCATTAGAAAATGTCTTTTTTTAAGGGGATTGGGGGGGGGGGGGACTCAATCTGCCTTAAATCCATGGAGTATGAAACTGAATACCACTTCTCTATTCTGTAAAATTGCTCACATACACACTACAGGACTACTAAATCTTCTCTTTCTTTAAAACCTACCTCCCTGGTTCCACCTGTGATAGCTCCCCCTATAGCTTTGCTATCTGAATACACAAATATTTGTCAACAAAAGGTGATGAGTCAAATATGACATGTGAGCCGCATCTTCTCGGAGAAACACTGATACTATATAACTGCCTGCAAATCTGGCCCAACACTGGCAACTCCTATAAAAGCCAACAAAAGGACCCCTTTGCCAAAAACCTCAAGACCCTGGGAGTTAAGTGATGGGATAATTGGGTCAAAAATATCCAATTATGTTCTTCCATTGCAACCAAAGTGGGAGCAAAACAAGTGTGTCACTCTTCTCAATGCTCTTTTGTGGTAAGGACAAGAGGATACGCAGCCTATATTATATCCCTGTGTGATTTATAGTTGGTTAGTTCTAGGTTACTACAACAGTGAAATTGGTCCAGATCCTTGTGTGTATTTTTTCTTTCATTTATCTCGACAAATGTCTTACATAATTATGTTGCTTGTGTAGCAGCAATTCATCACCACAGTGTCACATGTAATATTCACATTAACATTCCCATCACATCAACAGTGGATCGCCTCACTAAGACATGTAATACAAGTATTGTCACAGGTACCTTTCACCAGTGCAATCAACTCGTCTTCTGGGTGTCAACTGTCATCCAAAGAGATCCCTCCATCTTCCACCTGTACATTAGGCATGTTCCATCTTAATGTTGAATGTCATACAAATGTTAACAGCAATCAGCTTGGTCTGTAGTTGTCAAATATGGCCATTATAGCCCAAAACTACACACCTGGACAAAATGTCGGGCACAAGTTGGAGAAGAGTATCCCAGAGGGAATATCCCTTCCTTGTATTAGATGCATTATAACACTCAAAGATATTGGCCACATTTGTTTTTTTTACTGGTATGACACTTCAAAGTAAAGTCACTGTCCCTTTATATGAGACCATACTACAAAGCTAGACAACTATGGCACTTGAATATCAAAATCCACTTATTTTCTTTGTAAGACTGCATCAGACTTATCCCAACTACTAACCAAAAGCCCTATAAAATTTCCTCTGCTTTTGTAGATTATAACTGGCTAACCAGTTTAAGGTGAGATGCCCTGGACAGGTGACCTACTTAAAATAATTATTCCTTCAATAAAACATCCTCAGTATTACCTCGCCGTCAAGGTCTTGTCTCATTTGTATGAACATCACAAGCTAGAAAGTACCTTACAGGAGCTCTTCTCCTAAGGAGACGAAATCCCTCCCATCCTCACTTTACATATTTACAATTAAACCAATGGCATCAAGCTGCACTTTATGCTGACAGCCTTGCTGCACATGGTTATTAAAATAACCCTTTTCTTCTTGCAGCAAAAGCCGTATCTTCCTTCATAAAACAACTGCAATGTATAACAACCTTGCCAGTGGATACTGCATCCTGGTAAACAAGAAGATATCACCACTTAATGAGGTGACAATCAACTGACAGTTAAACGTGCAGATACTTCCTTTATTCATCAGTGATCACCTTCCAATAAAAATTTTATGATCTATATACATTAACCTGTGCTTACCCTATAGTACTTATTCAAACTTGTTACTTTTTTCACCTACAAAGGCTCTGTCCTCCTTAACTGATATGGTTGACATTAGACTGAGAGCAGCCTCTCTATCACAGTAAGTGGAAGATAATTACTATGTGAACTGTTACCTGCCTTCAAAACACCACTTTTCTGGCCCCTCCCCCTACCTCTGCATGATCATACCACTTGGGATTAGTTCACACGCTACAGTACACATACACAATTTCTCTTTGGCTGTGTCTCACTGGTTTAGATCTCAGACTCCATTCTTTCACATATCAAGCACTTTTTCTGAGAAAAATGTGTACTTTTTTGACTATATATTTTGCATTTATATTTTGGTGATGACATACCAAACCAGGTGCATTAAGTATCAGCTACAATTCACTTAAGATTTCTAATCAATTACCCCCCCCCCCTCCTCCTCCCTTTCATCACTCAAATGTCACTGCAACCAATGTAGAAATCATCATGAACTGATTCTGCCCAAGTTCTCCTCTGATCCAAAAACAAATCCAGTGTGGACACACCCATAAACCAATTAATCCCTCCCTTCCACACACACACACACACACACACACACCCGAGTGAGAATGTCACATAGCAATAGATTATCTCTGGACCATCATCCCTCTCCTCCCCCTCCCACCAATGAAAATGTCACGCTGCCCTGGAGGTAATCTAAGGTAATTAACCCCCTTAGTCTTAACTACAGGCAGGTAATTTAACAACAGGTGGCTGTGGGCATTTTAAGATGGGGCTACTGTCTGTGCTCAAATTTCCTACCTGGATGGGTATCTAATAGTACACACCTTGGCTAGTATATACTCTGGAGGTAATGGCCTGATATTAAGTAATAAGTGCAATTAATCAAGACTTAGCAGCCATGGTCTGTGACCAGAGATATAAGATAATAATTCAAACCGGTTCTTATCTCTCATCTAGGCCTACAGTTGTACAGTGTGCTCCAATAATCTTTGACCACCTCATCTCATCTTTAATTCCCCAGAACTAACTTTTCACAGTGGGGGTAATTAATCATTTCCATGAACTGGGGTAGAACAATGGCCAGGTACTTACTGCTTTGTCATTAGCCCCTGTTAAATGTCATAATACATTTTCAGTCTTCTGAAGATGTTTTAACCAAATACAAATGACACCTAGCTCCATTAACTTTTATAGACACATTAAATGATGTGGGATAAATGGGTTAATTTACATAGGACAATTATTGCCTATATAGCCAATTAACAACTTGCCTGGTTTAAAGATAAACAACAATCACACAGTGTTTGCTGGTTGTGATGTAACAGAGTCTGTCACAAGAAAATTCTAGCCACAAACAATACCCCAAGTCTTCACACCTTCTAAAAAAAAAAAGCTCAAGTCAGCTTTAAAAAGAAACCCAGCCTAGATTTTACCTTGATAAAAAAGTCGCCAATCCTCCCTGAAGAAAGTAAACCTTTTCTCCTTTGCCCAGCCCCAAGGTAAACAACTAAGGTAGACACAATTACACACAGGGATTAAATAGTGGAGATACTTAAAGAAATTATTGTGAATGCTGTCAATTAATCATTCACCTGCCTGAGGTAACAAACAGGTATGAAACAATCGGCCCCTTGTTGTCGCCTAAGTCAACACCACCCTGGGTTAAAAATATCACTTGTGTGTTCACCCTTTATCAACACATTGTAATTATTATCATTCTCATATAGCAGTTGACCTCCATCAAAGAAAATAGAATAATAGGAAAAAGAATTATCTGTTTGTCAACTAAATCCAGCAGTCACGAAGTTGAGGACATCAATTGTTAAGATACCCAGTCGCCTGGGGTAAGGTGAGGAAAGGCGTCAGGTGAAAACTGAAAAAAATGTCTATCTCAGTCCTGATATCAGAACTCAAACCTATCAAATCATCCTTACCTAACAATTATCATTAGACTGTCGGTTGCTTTATTTATCTGTGAACCTGAAAATCAGATTATAGATTATGTACCAGGCCTGTAGACAGGGGAAGGGGAGGTTAGAAAGATCCACCCTTGTGACCAGAAAAGTGATCCGATTAGGTCTTACACCCCATTTCCATAGATTTTTAGATCGATCTACCCCTGTGGGGAGTCTCACTAGATTACTGTCAGCTTGGCTGGCTTAAGCATCTGTCCTGCCTACTAAAAGCTGTAAGGGGGTAATTAACTATGGTGCCTGCTCGGCTGACTGCAATTTAGTGTGAACCCCCAGGGAGTTAGGTCGATCTAAAACTTAATCTTTAGATCGATCTAAATCTCTGGGAAAGCACCCTTAATGATGACATCTGATGTAATTGAACACTATTATAATCACCAAGCAACAGCATAATGCTAAGTACCTAACTTCATACTAAAACATCACACTTATTCAAAAATACTCTGTGTGAGTTCACTTACCTTGTTGAGGTTTATTTCACAAAAACACTTCTATCTCGCTGATAAGCTGTCTGTCTTTTTAAGGACCTGGAGATCTGAAAGAGTAAAGATGCACTGCCATCATTTATCTCTGTTGAAGTGACACATGACACACCAGTAAACCAAACAATTCTTTAAACTTAAAGAACATAGCTCTTTGTATTTCAGTCTTTAAAAAATCAGCTAAAGACTATATTTTTAGCAGCTTAATGTAACAGGAGAGACAGCGTCTTGTACATTCCTTACCCTTATATGGCAAAAATAGTAAAAAAAACTAAAAAGACACAGAACACCTCCGCACTCCAGCAAGACCAGATTCTCAAACATTTGGCCTGTTTTCCAAAAACTGTACTGATAAGATTTACAGTCCAGGCACTGACAACATCCTAGTCCTGCACCACAAGATAAGCAAATTCCTTTTATGTGTGCTTTGCTATTGATAGCCGGCAACACAAAATTTCAAACCTGCAGATTTGTTTAGTTCAACCAAGAAAATAAATGTGTTTGCAGAACTTCAAAAGTTTTCTTCCATCTTGTAAACATTATGCAGTGTTTAAAAATGACCACAAAACTTGATCAAGTGCTGTAAAAGCCACAGCTGAAATCTATGGATACGGAACCTTCAAAGAAGAGATAATATGACACAGATAACCTCTAGAATATATATTTTATCTGATAACCAGACACTTTTGTGTATGTAACTTATTAACTCTGCCAATTCATCACCAATCTTAGGCTCTATTCCCATAGATTTTAGATCGATCTATCCCCGCGGGGAGTCTCACTTTCAGATAATCCGACTTAAATGTCCGTCCTGCCTACTACAAGCTGTAAGGGGGTAATTAACTTTCGTGTCCGCCCAGCTGACAGCTATTTAGCGTGAACCCCCAGGGAGATAGGTCGATCTAAAGTAGGTCGATCTAATCTATGGAAATGGGGTGTTAGACTGCATTCAGATTCACACATCGCACTAGCTGGGTCTGTCCAACTCAGTGGAAGATTCTTGCTGAAGTGCAATCAGTGCAATCAGCTTAATTGTCTGACACGTCTTCTTGTGGGTGATTAACTATCCTATTCTGATTTAACTGATTCCACTGATTGCACTTTAGCAAGAATCCCCCTCAGAGATGGACCAACCCATCTAGTGTGAATCTGAATGGTCCCTTACACAGATTAACAGCATATCTTAACTTGGCAAACATTGCGACATTTTAACTTCCTTGTTGCAACATAAGGTTTTTAATACCTGTCCTACAGGAAACAACAGTCAGTATAAGACTTTAGTTTTATAACAAAACTGATCACCTACTAAAAAGTTTTTCAAAATATTTACTCCACAGTCTATCTGAAGCCC